TGTCTATTTCCTAGACAATTAGTAAATTGGTGATTTTCATAGAGAACTTTCACAGAGAGAAGCCAAATTTAACCACATATTCAGAATGTCTGAGCATTCATAATATTAAGTACAGATTTATTTTGGCTATATAATTTCCTCTTCCATTAATATAGTAGTATGTTGTAATCATTGTTCAATAGTTAGGTGAATTAATTATTCATTAATGGAATATAATTTCAGTTTTCTGTTATAATTATCAATGTGTCAGCCATTATGCCTTTGCCTATTATAATAACTTAACCTTAGCTCTTCTACTTTCTATGTGGGTGACCTTGTGCAAGTCATTTTATTGCTCTAGGCCTCAGTTTATCTACTTGTAAAGTGGCAAGGTGGAAAGCTCAGGCTTGATTGCATATAAGGTCCCTTACAGTTCCAAATCTTTGATCCTATGAACCTTTATTCTAAAACTGCAAAGAAAGCTGAGAGGATGGATACAGAATAAAATCTGTCATAAATATGTCAATATACAGTCAGGAGAAGCAAGGGGAGCTCATATCTGAAGGTCAATATTCCTTTTTAGCTACCCATCAGTCAATCAACAGACATTTATTAAGCCTCTATATTATCAAGCTCTAGGCTATATGTTGGTGACATGAATATAAAGAATGAAAGAACACCTACTTTAAAGGAAATTAGCAATTTAGAACAACAGGTTATTAAGTATCAAAGGAATAAGGATAAAGATTAAAAGAAATGTCTCAAAGAAAAATTTGGGAGATCTGATGTGGTGAGTGAACCTTAGAGTCAGTGTGGAATGAGTTATAAATTTACCTTTTATTGCCTGTACTATACCCAATGAACATGGTACCAAATTCATCATTTCCCAGTACTTCCTCTATTAGCTCTGCAGTTACAGGAGGTAGAGAGAGTACCAGGAGTTATCTAAGAATTAAGAATAGCAAATTAGAACTATAAGTTCCCTTTTTACTGGAAGTATTAAGAGACATGGGACTAGTTGTTGGAATAGACAACTCTGTAGGGGCAGCTAGGTAGCACAGGGGATAGAGCACCAGCCCTGGAGTCAGGAGGACCTGAGTTCAAATTCAGTCTCAGACACACAACACTTACTAGCTGTGTGACCTTGGGCAAGTCACTTAACCCCATTGCCTAGCAAAAACAAACAAAGAAGACAACTCTGTAGTACTTTATTATGAAGCAAGTATCCATAGTGTAGCACAAATATAATAAACAAGAGAAGAAGAAAAAAACAGCAATAACCAGGCAGTGGCAAGGCTGATGTGTTAAATGGCTCAAATATTTTAGTTTTAACAAGATCAGAGAACAGGATCCACAGTAGGGGGTTATGCGAGGTTTGGCAAGTATAGGCACTGTGTAGCCTGAGAGGATACATCATAAAATAAGTTTTGTAGGGAAGTTCATTGTGAATGGCAGTTGTTGAATTGAAAGGATAATAGATTTGGAGTTTGATGACCTAAGATTTAACCCTGATTCTACTTTAAGAACTCTTACAACTCACTGAATCTTTTTGGGACTCAGTTTCCTCATTTGTAAAATGAAGAGCTTTCTAGAAGAGGATCACTAAGGTCCATTCCATATTTAAATACTGTGACCCCATGACCAATCAATCAACAAACTTCTGCTAAATACCTATGCCAGGGGGATATTGAAGCTCAAGGGAGATAATGAATATAAAGCATTTTGGAAACCTTAAAGTCTTATATAAATTCCAATTGTTGTTGTTATTTACAATCATCAGGTCTCCATTCAGATGATGACTTCATTTCCTGAACCTTCTACTGTACCCCTGCTGAGGTCTAGCAATGTTTATAGAACAATACAGGGATGTGCTGGGAAATGTTTAACAACTGGCCTGGGAGTGCAGATGGGGGAAATGCATGCACACACACGCTTTATGTTTTAATCTATATGATTAACACAAGTCTAGATAATCAACAAAACAATAAATCAAGCACTGATTTGTAATAATAGCTGATTGCCAAAGTGTATGTGCTCACATTGAAAATTTAACAAGGCCTCCCAAGATGGTTAGATCTAGATTCACTATACCCTTAACCTATGCTAAGGACTAACATTGACGATATAAGGACAAAAGTGAAATTATCTCTTCCTCCAGCAAGCCTGTGTTCCATCCATTAGAACATGAGTTTTATGATAATAAGACCAAAGTGAGAGGATTAAAAAAGTAGAATATGAATCAGATACTAAAACTGCCTTAAAAAAAGGAAGTCAGTTCCAACAAACAATATGTATATGATAGCAGCCATGATTTATACAGGGTGTAGGTGATAGTGCAAATCTCAAATAAGTATTCATCCAGTACCACTAGTCTGCTTCTCTAATATCTGGAAGTGTAAGTAGACTTCTCTCATAAAATTAAAGGGCATCTACAAGTTCAAGGTCTCTGGGCCCAGAAAGCAGTTGAAACCTGATTTGCATGAACCTTCCATTGACCATTCCCATAGCTTAGAGGCCAAGAAGATGCATTGTTCTGTCCAGGACTGCACCATAAAGATAAAGGAAACAGCTGAAAAAAGCAGAATAGAACTAAGACGTTGTGTTGGTGCTGATGATAGCACATTTTGTTTCTTTGAAAAACAAGTAAGAAAAAAAAAAACAGAAAGCATCTAAATTTCATTGTTTTATTAGCTAAAGTTTAACTGTCCTCCCAAGTTCATAACTAAGAAAATATTGTATTTGGATCAACTCCCTGGCATTATCATATAACTTTGAAAAGGAATTGAAAAGTATAAATTACATAATTGTTGTTATCAATCCCAACTCTTTCAAATGTTAATGGAAGACCACATGGGATCCTCAGGGTGATTGTGTGGGTCCCAAAGATGCTAGTGGCCATATTGGATTCTCAATTTAGTGAACAATACCCAGACAACAACACAAAGAGATCAGAATAGTGTAGTCCTTTGTTTTCCAAAAGGTTGTCCCATCTCAGGAACAGATAATCCTTACTAATGAAAATGAAGTGAGAAAGGGGTTTGAAGAATATTGCTATATCTGGCAGCAGATGGCAGTGTTAATCCATGAAAAAGTACATTCAGGTTAGTTTTGTGATTGTAATGTCTTATTTTAAGTTTATACATCTGAGCTGATGTCCAGAAAGTATAATTTAGTAGTTAAACCTACACAAACACACACACACACACACACACACAATACACACACAAACACACACATAATTTATATATAATATACAAATATGTATGTATATATGTCTGTATGTATATTATCATGTGTGTAGATTACATAAGTAAAGTGCTTGACAAACTTTAAACCTATATAAAATGTCATATAGATACATATAAATATATGTATGCATACATATAGATGTATATGTAAAGATAAATAGCTAGATAGACAGGTAGGTAGGTAGGTAGATAGATAGATAGATAGACAGACAGTCAATTGGACAGAAGTTTCTCTCTCCCCTTCCCTAGTATAATAGTAATTTCTAACATTTACATAGCACTTTAGAGTTATATAGTGCTTTACAAATATTATCTCATTTTATTCTCATGACAGTCCTTGAACGTAGTCTAGTTTACAGGTGAGGAAACTGAGGCAGTCAGCGGTTTAGTGACTTGTCCAGGGTCAAACAGCTATTAAGTGTCTGAGGTCAGATCTCAAATCAGGTCTGTCTGACTCCAGGCCTATAGTGTTCTATGCACTGCACAATCTAGGTGGCTCCAAGAGACAAAGCCTAAATTCATATGTTTGTTTTTTAACAAATAAACAAGCAAAAAAAAAAAAGAAAGGAAGGAAGAAAAGAAAAGCCAAACATATATATGCCCTTAAAAAAAGAGAAAAAAAATTTGACTTTCTTATTTATTTAGGCACAACTGTGAAATAGACAAAACAATATTTGGTGCTTCTCACCATCCTCTACCTCTTTCTGTGAATTGCCTTCTTTCCCACTGCATCACTTCTGCAAAAGCAACTCTACCCCTAGGATCAGGACAAAAGTAAAAAAAAAATCCTATAAGCCACCAATACTTGAATTACTTTTATGTTTTTCCCCTCTCTGGAAAAGTGACACTTTAAATGAGGACCATAGAAGGTCAAATTAAAGCTGAAGTGGGGGTAGAATTTGAGGTTGTGAGGGCTTCCCTATGCTCTTCAAATCATTCTACTTAGACAATGGGCAGTTAGGTGGAATGGTGGATAGAATGCCAGTCCTGGAGTTAGGAAGACCTGAGTTCAAATTTGACCTCAGACATTTACTAAGACACTGGGTAAATCACTTAACCACATTTGCCCATTGTAAAATGAGCTAGAGAAGGAAATGGCAAACCATTCCATTATTTTTGCCAAAAAAACCCCAAATGGGATCCCAAAGAGTCAGACAGAGTTGAAAATGACTAAACGACAATACCTTAGACAACAATGCTTCAATTTGTCCATCCATCTACCTCTCCCATCCATCTATCCATCCATTCACACAACCGTGAAATACACTCTGCTTCATGCCTGAGTTCAAAGAAAAACATCAAATACTTCTGAATTCAAGGGCCTTGTGTTCTAAGATTGTCCTGTTGCTTCATCCAAACAAGGCAAAGACATTTTGGGGTATATTTTTACTAATTTGTTGGTACAAAATATGTTTATTTTATTTTAGTCAATCCAATATTGTATGGTTACCTATTCAGCATGATAATGACAATAATAATGATAATGGTAAATGTAACTAATATTTATCTTATAGTGCTTACTGTGTGCTAGGCACAAAGCTAAACATGACAATTATTATCTCATTTGATCTGGTTTCAAATGCCAAACCTGCCATTTACTGTGTGACTTTGAGGTCCCCTCCATCTCTACACATGTGATTTTAAGAACCTTAGTGTCCATAAACCTAGTCATTCTTCCCCTCTGCACTAATCGCTTTTATAGTTATTTCTCCAAAACTGGGATATTTCGCAAAGCAAACTATAACAATAATGAAATTCTTCTTCCTCTTTCAGATCCCTGGGACCTCTTCAGTGGTTCAGAGAAGATGGAAGCCTCTTTACCCTGCTACTCAGACACGGGGAGGTCCAGGACAGCAGACTAAATCCCGAATTAGTGCTGTGACTGCAGAAATCAAACAAATTAGAGCCAGGAGGAAAACAGCACGGATGTTAATGGTTGTCCTTTTGGTGTTTGCCATTTGTTATCTCCCAATTAGTATCCTCAACATGTTAAAGAGGTAAATTTGACTAGTTATTCAAACACTAAACAATATGGGGCATCTACTTAAGAGAAATAGATCAGTTAGTTTTGGTAGAAGGAGAAAGTGGGGTATAGTGGAAAGAATATTGACTAGGAAGACAGATAACCTGGGTCCAAATCCCAGGTCTGCCACTAACTTGCTATATGACCTTGGAAAAATCACTTCTAGCTAGGCCTGAGTTTTTTCATCTGAAACATGAATGCTTTGGGATAAGTGATTTCTAGCTATAAATTCTAACTTCTGAGAATCATATTTTGGTATCATGAGGGGTCTCCAGGTTTTTGGCAGATAAGTGGTGCAGTGGATAGAGCTCCAGGCTTGAAGTTAGAAAGATTCAACCTCCTGAGCTCAAATCCAGCCCCAGACAATTATTAGCTGTGTGACTGCAGACAAGTCACTTAATCCTATGTGTCTCAGTTCCTCATCTGTAAGATGAGCTGGAGGAAGAAATGGCAAACCCCTCTAGTATCTTTGCCATGAAAACCACAAATGGAGTCATGAAGAACTGGACACAGCTGAATAACAAAAACAAGATATTTGAAAATATAAATGACATTCCTCAAACTAAAGTTCACTGCTTCTAGGATTTGGGGTACAGAAAGAAGTCAAAATCTGATTTTTTTGCCTCCCAAAATAAAATGGTATTAATGGCCAGTGAATCAACAGGTTAACTGAATGGATTTGGGGAACTCTTGAAATATACCCATGTCAATTCATATCCCCTTCCTGATGACAAACAAGACAGGTGCTCTCAAATGCTTTCAAGTTAATTGTTAAGCCTTCAAGAAATCAAAAAGATCCAACAAGTGAATTGCTTTAAAGATCTGAAATCTTTGTTTTAAATCTGAATAAATGTTTTTGTTTTGTTTTGTTTTGTTTTTCAAAATAAGCAGAGATCCAGTCAGGGTTGAATTTAGATGAAAGGGTTCTTAATCCCAGTTGCTTAAAATTATTTTTGTTTGGCATTTGTTTTGTTTTCCCCATGAATTTTGATAATGGTAATTAAATATAATTTATTTCCTTTGCAATACTATATATTATATTCACTGAAATAACATTGTTCTACAAAGGGGTCCATAGGCTTCACCAAACTGCAGAAAGAATCCAGACCTGCACAAAGTTAAGAACCCTTCAAAGCAATAAGAATGGAATGCTGGAGCTTTAATTATACTTAGCAGTGGATTTGAGAGTCCTAAAAGGCACTCAAATCAGGACAGTTTTAGAATGTTATACTTGTTAAAAGCAAGGAAAAGCCCACTAAAAAAAAAAAAGGCTAGTGAATCATTCCTAAAGTGATTATTAATAAAACTCAACAGAGGATTTTATAGTAAAAGAAAACATAGCATTTGCTAGACATTGCAACTCAGTAGAGACTCTGGCAAGTAGTATGGTTTGCAGATGGACTTAAGTGGGCAGTGGCACCTGAGTTTGGTGACCAGCCAACATTACTAGGAATTATCCTAACTGTTGCACACAATCCCCAGGCAATTCTAATCCTGTTTACAATATGCTCCAAGCTAAAGTGAGAGTTGTTGCTCTCACTTTCCCTTGACTCAGAGTCAATATCAGATTCTCCGCAGCTGGGGACCCTGGAGAGGGAGAGAAAGAGTAAAAAGACAGCTTTGGCTGGAATCAGACAAACCAAAGGTGGTATAACCAGCTGCAAGTTCTTTAGCTCTCCTTTTGGCTTTAAATCAACTCTTGGTTTTGATTATTTAATAGTGTTTGCAGTAAAAGAGGAGGGGGAGGAAATGAACCCATTTTCAGAACTATCACTTAATAGCATAGGCAGACTTAAAAGATGTGATATGAAGGTGGTGGTACCCTAGAGGTAAAGGAGTTACATAAAACCCTAGAAGGAGGAGGTGAAAGTTCCTTAATTCACATTATCAATTGTGATTTTGAAGCACTTTGCCAAATACAAACACACACACACACACACACACACACACACACACACACACAATAATGGACCTGTTCTCTTCTCCCTTTGTGTTGCCATCTGTCCTGGAGGCACTCCAATCTGTCTGGCTGTCTGGTCTCACCTCTGCAAATTCATTTGTGTATTGTAAGGTGGCTTGCATTTTTAAAGATTTACTCTAATTGAACTAAAATTAATTTTTACTACTCTCTGGCTTTCTCTTCCTGCATGTTAACTCTCTGGATTTTCTACTTCTTAACACTTGTGACTTTCGTTCATTCCAAATACCGATAATCTTCTTATCCTCTTGATTTTCAGTACCTTCCATTCATTTGGCTATTCTTTCCACCTGAAATTGAAACAAATTATCCTTATCAGATTTTCCATCATCTTACTCTTTTCTTTGTTTTTTTAAATTTTTTAACTTTTTAAAGTTGTTAAACTTTAAAAATTGTCCTTTCTATGTCCATTTACTTAAAAATATAATTTTCCCACCTTTTTTTTTCCTCATGCACACTTACGTGTTTTATGCCTGGAAAAAATATCTTTCTGTCTAGCCAGCCAAATTATTTTTCTTTCCAAAAGACTTCAAATCCTACTTCTTCCGTGAAGTTCTTTCTTAATTCTCACTGCTGAAGACAATATTACATATTGGATAGAGCCCTGGACTTGGAGTCAGGATGACCTGAGATCACATGTTCCCTAAGGTACTTACTAGTTGTGGGACCCTGGGACAAGTCACTTATCCTCTCAGGGCTTTAATTTCCTCATCTATGGGGAACTCAATGGCCTTTGAAGGTCCCTTTTAGCTTTTTAACTATTCATATGTTTATTGATGATGACAAGACAGCAAAGATTAATACAGATATAGCATGTTCTATGGTAGGGGTTCTAAACCTTTTCTGTGTCATAGATCCTTTTGGTGGTCAGGTGAAGCCTGTGGACCCCTTCTCAGACCCCTTAGTGTTTTGTTTTGTTTTTGTTCTTTGTTTGTTTGTTTTTTTAAGAGACAATGGGGGTTAAATGACTTGCCCAGGTTAAATAACTTGCCCAGCTAGTTAGCGTCTAAGGCTGGATTTGAACTCAGGTCCTCCTGACTCCAGGGCTGGTGCTTTGTCCACTGTGTCACCTAGCTGCCCCCCCATTAGTGTTTTTAAATGCATAAAATATATAGGATTACAAAGGGAAGAAATTCTATTGAAATAGAATTATAGATTAAAAAAAAAGTTCATGACCCCAAATTCAGAACCCCTGCTCCACGGTTAATTGCAGTATCCTCAATGTATTTCATGCTTATGTTTTTGTTTTACTCTCCCTTCCTATGCTAGGATTGCTGGAGAATGGATATTTGAAAAGTCATATTCATTTTAAAGGAACTAGGGTGTTGGGCATGGTATGGGGGAAAGAGTGCTGAATCTAGAGTCAAAACGCTTGGTTCAAATCCCAGATCTTATGCTTATTATCTGTATAAACTTGAGTAATTCAGTTAACCTCTTCAGTTCCTCAAAGGAAGAAGTCTGTCTCTATAACCTCCAAGGTCCCTACTGTGTTTAGACCAATAATCCCATCATGGGCCTCTACACCCTCATCCATAAAATGAAAGTCTTCAGATAGAAAGTCCCTGAGGTTCCAACTCTAGATCTGTGACACAAGGAGATTGTTCACAGGGATACACAACTAGGGTGTGGGGGTGGGAGGAGGAATGAGGAGATGGAGTAAGGGCTCAGCTTCAGTGTGTTAGCATTACCTGTCTACATATATGAGTATACGATCATTAAAGGCTTGTTGATTGATTGATTGATTGACTTTTATATGTAATTATGAACTTTTGAAAAAAATATATTATTTTCAAAACCCCAAGTGAAAGCTTTATTTATTCAGGGATAAGCTACAAATTGGCCAGTCAGACTGCAAACATATAAAACTATCAGCCTCTCTGTACACAACATGTCCCAAACTGAGATTTTCTTTCTCTCAAAACTTGGTCTTCTTTATATAAACAGGAAATGAACCATTTCTACTAGTACAGGGGTGGGGAACCTGCGGCCTCAAGGTCACATGTTACCCTCTAGGTCCTCAAGTGCAGTCCTTTGACTGAATCTAAATTTCATAGAACAAATCACCTTTATAAAAGAATTTGTTCTGTAAAACTTGGACTCAATCAAAAGGCATCACCCAAGGACTTAGAAGGCCACATGTGACTTCAAGGCTGCAGGTTCCCCACCCCTGTACTAGTAGCAACACTGATTACCCAATGTCCTATGATCAAAACCTTAGCGTTGTCTTTGACTCTTCCTTTTCCCTTACTGGTTATTGCCAGTCCATTATCAAGCACCACCATTTCTGCCCTTCCAAAATCTCTTGCATTCACCTCTTCCTCTCAATTTTTACTGCTTTTATCCTCTTACAGGTTGTTATTTGGACTATTACATAGTCTTCAAACAGGTCTTCCTACAGTCGTCAGTTAATAAACATTTATTAAGTATCTAATATGTATGTTCCAGGCATTGAAGTAGGCAATGGAGATGCAAATATATATATTAAAAAAAAAAAGAGTCTTTACCCTCAAGGAGCTTACAATCAATTGTTGGAAGACAACACGCAAAAGAATACTGAAAAAGACAGTGACAGAGTGGGAAAGGGCAAGATAGTAGGCCAAAATAAAGGAGTGCAGCTGATGAGGATGAGTTCTGGACTCCAAAAATGAAAAACCCTGGACTTTCCCACATGGCCAAATCTCTGGCATTTGCCTGAGGCTATAATCCCATAAACTGGCCTTTCATTGTGGCTAAACCCCCAATCTCCCAATTCTCTTTTACCTTTAACCTAGCCTAGCCCTCCATTGTCTTACCTCCCTACTGCTCCAGGCCACCTCCTACCCTTAATCCTAGCTAGGCTCCATTCTCCCCTGGCCACGTGGTCCAGGTCCCTGGCATTCTACTACCACACAGTCCCTGCAAACTACTTGGCTACTCCTAGATCTCTCCCCCAGTCTTTCTGTATATAAAGTCCATCTTGTCTCCATTAAGGTGCTAAGATTCTTAAAATCTAGTCACTGCTCAGATTCTTATAATCTAGTCAAATGCTCAGATTCCTTAAGAACCTAGCCAATAGCTCACAAATGTTCAGATTCCTTAAGAGTCTGGACAATATGGAGGCTGTTCTAATAAACCTTATCATTGACTGAAAGAAGGCTTGGGTCAAATGCTTTTGGGCAGGACCTGAGTGTTGTGATTGTGGGGTCCCAGCACCCCTAAATCTCAACATAGCCAGAGGTGAAATGAAAAGCTGTCTAGCTTGGGAGTGCTATTCTGTTTCTGGGCTCTATCCTTCCTATTGCTGCCAGCCTACTCTTTCTTATACATAAATCTGGTCATATCATTATTCCGAATAAAAAACCTGGGTTCTCTGTGGCTTCCAAATAAAATTTGAACTGCTTTATTAGACATGCAGAACCACTAACAATCTGGTGACTTTACCTGTCTAGTTTCATCTCTTATATTCATATAAATCAAATTATTCTTTTTCTACCTGTGAACTACTCATTGCTTCCCACTGTTCCTTGTGGCTTCTCTCTCCTCAACTGTTGAATTTCTACCTACTTTTTCAAGCCCAATTCAAATCTCCTCTCCTCTAAGAAGCCTCCTCTGGTGCTTCTAGTTGGTAAATACATCACAAAACACTTTGTTTTGCATGGCTTTCTTGTATTATTTTCAATGTACTATTTTGTATTTATATTACCTTGATAATAATAGCTATCATTTACATAAGCTTTAAGGCTTACAAAATGCTTTACCTATGCTTCCTCATTTGGTCCTCACAACAATGCTAGTAGGGAGCTGTTATAGTTATTCCCATTTTAAGATGAGGGAACTGAGGCTAAGAGAGCTTAAAAGACTTATCCAGGGTCACACAGCTAAGAAGTGTCAGTGGACGGATTTGAACTGAGTTCTTCTCAGTTCAAAGTCCAAAATATTATCCATGATATCACCTCACTGCCTCTGTATCATTTACATGACTTATCTTCCCACTAAACTATTAGCTCTATGAAGACAGAGACCTATCTTTTCTAATCTTCCTATTTCTCACAGTGAACAGCTCAGGACTTTGCACACAGAAAGCTGCTGATAAATGTTTGATGATTTGAATTTAATATGGAGATTCTTTCCTGTACTTAGGAACTATGATCTCCTAGAGAATTTTTGGTTTTCTCATTCTTTTGTTTTCACATGTGATTTCATCATTGTAGAGGATTAGGCATAATGTTCCCTCCAGGACATGCAGGTGAATCATCTGCCACTTGTAGTCTTATTTAGATCATTGCCTGGGACACAGAGAAGATGACTTGCCCATAGTCAAACCTGTCTGCATCAGAGGAAGGACATCCTTCCTTAGTTCAAGGTGGGTGCACCCTCTTAGCCGCTATAGCATATTACCTCTCACATTCTAAAATTTGAGTACAAAGATAATAGAAATCTAATGGAATTTTATCACAAGATATTTAGCAATGGGATGAATTAAGACAGGGATATTGACATTTCTATGTCTCATTAGGCTTTCAATAATAGTATTTCATAAGTCATATAATCTCTACCCTCAGGTTTACTCATAACAAAAATAAAATATATACTAATAGCTAACATTTCTACAGCAGCTAACATTTATGAGCCAGGTACTATGCTAAGGGCTTTACAAATATTATGTCATTCAATCCTCACAACACCTATAAGTAATAGGTGCTCTTATTATCCCTATTTTGCAGATGAGGAAACTGAAACAGACAGATTAAGTGACTTGGCCAGGGTCACTCAGCCAATAAGTATGTCTCAGGCTAAATTTGTACTCAGTTCTTTCAGACTGCAGGTTCTCTATTCACTATGTTCTTCCTATTTGAAAACCTTTTTCTCTATCTAATCAAAAGATTCTGTAACTTATTTTTTTTCCCTTTTTGCAGGGTATTTGGGATGTTTGCCTATACAGAAGACAGAGAGACTGTGTATGCCTGGTTTACATTCTCACACTGGCTTGTCTATGCCAACAGTGCTGCAAACCCAATTATTTATAACTTTCTCAGTGGTGAGTTTTCCATTGCTCCACCTATGAAATCCAAGTTCTCGCCAGCATGTAGCCTGTAATGAAAAGGAGGTTTTTGAGGCTGGCTCTGAAATGCCAGACCAATTCAGTCGCCATACAATGAGATCAGTTCATCCTGGCTTCCCTTATTTTGTATTTCCTCCGTGGTGACAGAAAGTGCATATTCTACCAAATTGAAATGCAGTAAATCCTTTTATTTGTACTTTTTTTTCCTGTGAAAGTGGCAGGAAATACCAAAAAGTACAAACTGTGGGAAATTAATCAATTTATACATTGTTTTAATATATTGACTCAGCATCACTAATAACACTTGTTTAATAAGTACTATTAAATAAAATCATAGTATGTTTGAGGCAAAAGACTATAGAAACTCACTAGTTTTACCTAGGAGTGAAACTCTGTTATTTACAGAAACATATGTGGCTTTTTACTTGAAAATAAAGCATCAAGTATTTTCAACCTCTGGGAAATAAAAGTACACAGGGTCTCCCAAAACTCTTACTGCACTTTTAAGCTTAGTTTTAGCTAAATTTAGTAAAGAGGTTTGCATAAAGCACTTAGTGGTTAAATTACTCACCTTCAGTCACAGAGCCAGTTTTTATAAGAGGTGAGACTTGAACCTAGGTATTCCTGACTTCAAGGACAGCTATAGCCATTTAATAAAAGTTTGCTGAATGAAGTAATTGAAACATGTTTGAAATTACAATTCAAGATAGCACTATATAGAAACTAGATATACTAAGCTAAGTTTAAACTGCAGTAAGACTTTTGGGACACCCTGTATAGCTGCCATAAGATCACTTTGAATACATTTTACTTCACCCTCCCACACTCCCAATAAAATATTTTGTTTTATTTCTATTTCTCTTGGCTACTGGTTCTATTGGGTTATCTACCCTGTATGACTTAAATACAATGACAAGCTCAAACAAACACTTAAGTCAAGGAGTAGAAATAATGTATGGCCCAAGCAGAATAGAATTATTTTACATAAACTTATATTTCTCGAAATTTAAAAAAAAAGATTAAAAGTCAGTAGTTTATATATGGTGTCATCTTGTCATGTTAATTTGAATTGTAATTTCAAACATATGTTTAAGTTAATTCATTCATCAAACTTTTACCGAATACCTACAGCTTTCCTTGGAGACAGGAAGTGCTATGCTCAAGTCTTTTGTTATTTGTTGTTCAGTTTTCAGTTGTGTCTGACCCTTCATGATCCCATTTGGGGTTTTCTTGGCAAAGATATTGGAGTGGTTTGCCATTTCCTTTTACAGCTCAAATCTTGCCTCTGATAAACACTGGCTCTGTGACTGAAGGAGAGAAATTTAACCACTAAGTTCTTTAGGCAAACCTTTAAGCCTGTAAGTTTTAAAGAAAGTGTCAGATGGAATTGGTAAAGGGAGTTTCTACTTTTGAGAGTTCTCTGTATCAGTGAAACCACAGATCTAGTATTTATCTCTAGGTACTAATCAGTCAACCAATAAGCCAGGCCCTAAACTATGAGCAGGGATTCTATAAAGGCAACACCATAATCCATGACCTAAAAGACCTTGCATTCTAATAGGGGAGGCAACATGAAAAAAAAAAATACATGGAGACATATACAGCGTAAATGGAAGATAATCTGGGGGGAGGGGGAGTACTGGGAGTGTATGAGGGAGGGGACTCAGAAAGATCTACTAAAAAAAAAAAAAAGGTAGGATTTTAGTTTAGTCTTGGAGAAAGGCAGGGAAGCCAGAAAGTAAAGGTAAGGAGGCATTATGTTATGAGGTTATGCGCCTTAATCACGGTATCTCCCTCCTTAAACACATACACACACACACTTTACATACATATCTAAAGCCATCACTTGGACGATGTCAGATTTAAAGTAGATTAATGGGATGAAAAAAATGATATTGTATGTTTTGGGGGAAAAGCTTTTCCATGCACCAAATATTTAAGTCAAAACTTGATTTTCAATAGAAATTTTCATATCTGTATACATGATAAACCATAATTTATTTTGATAAGATTATGGCTCCAAAGCTGGAAGGGACCTCTAAGGCTGATTTGCCTAAGCCTATCATTTTACAAATGAATAAACTGAGTCCCATAAAAGCTAAGTGATTTACTCAAGGTCACAAAAGCAGAGAGCATCAATCAGTCATGCAGTCAATAAATATTTGTTAAACACCTACTTTATGACAGGCACTGTGCTATTTTTTGAGCATGCAAAGATAGGTAAAAAGACCTTTCCTACCCTCACAAAGCTCACGGTCTAATGGGGGAGCCAACATTCAAACAGCTATGTACTAACAAGATATATGTGCAAGATAAGTACAGGCATTAGAGGTAATCAACAAAAGGATAAATGTAGAATTAAAGGGGGGGTGTGTAAGAAAAGACTTCTTGCAGAAAGTGGGGATTTAGCTGGGACTTGGAGTGTGACAGCAAAGTCAGGAGATAAAGATGAGGAGGGAGAGCATTTCAATAATGAAGGATAGCCAATGAAAGTGTCTGGAGTGAGGAGATGGAGGGTCTTATTCAAGGGATAGAAAGGAGGTCAATGTCCTTGAATTGCAGAGTATGTGGAAGGGGGGAAGTTTAAGAAGACTAGAAAGGCAGGGGATTTTATAATTGATCCTGCAGGTAATAGGGAGACATGAGTTTATTGAGTAGGGTGAGAGAGGTCAGACTTGCAATTTAGGAAGATGACTTTAACAACTAAGTGTAGAATAGAATGGAGTGGAGACAGCTTTGCATCAGAGAGATCAACCAATAGACTCTTTTAATAGTCCAGGTGTGAGGTGATAAAGGCATGATGTTAGTGCAAAAGGAGAGAAGGGGGAATATATGAGTGATGTTTTGACAGTCAAATCAATAGACCTTTGAATCAGATTTGATATGAGGTTTGAAAGTCAAGGATGAACCTTAGATTGCGAGCTTGTGTAATTTACTGGGAAAATGATGGTGTCCTTTATAGTAATAGGGAAGTTAGGAAGAGAGGAGGGTTTGAAGGGAAAGTTAACAAATGAGTTCAATTTTGGATATATTGAGTTTAAGATATCTATAAGATGCCCAGTTCAAGATGTCCAATGGGCAATTGGAGAAGTAAGACTGGAGGTCAACAGAGAAGTTAGAGTTAGATAAGAGAAGAATTGGACATGAGATTGAAACGTAGGATCCCTGACTCAAGGGCTCTGTATTCTTTCTGCTATAATACCATCTCATGATATATACTACAAAACCTAGGAAAAAATAAACAATTGATTTTTTAATGGATGCCACTGACCCATTGCTTTTTTGTTTCGCTATCATTATATCTGCACAAAGCGGAAAAAACAAGTCTAACTAGGGTAACTTGATATATTGAAAAGAATACTGAGCTATACTCTAGAAGGCAAGAGATTTAGTCTAAACTCTGCCATTACATAGTTGTATAACCTCAAACAAACAGTCTGACACCACAGGGCTTCAGCTTATTTATCTATAAAATAGGGAGACCTGATTAGCTGAGCTCTAAGGTCTTTTCTGGTTCTGACTTTCAATAATTGTATTATTTGTCATTGAGTAGTGGAAAAATGACTTTTTTCACATTTCAGCTTGTTAAATATTATGTAGATATACAACATATTTTATTTTCTATCAAGTTAGAAGACTGTACCCAAGTCCATGTCTACCCATGGCTGGAGGAAAGACATTGAGGAGGAGTTAAACCCACAGTGAAGGTCACTACAGGGTGGACTTATTGCCACTGAGAGTTGCATTAGGGATAAGTCAAGGTTGATGATAACTATTCAATCAAATTGATTGACATTCTGTAGATTTAAACCAAAAAGAAAAAAAAGGCATTTTAAACATTTCAGCCAGTTTTATTTTGGGTTGTGTATACAGTTTTCTCTTGTTACCTCATAAGACTTCTTTCTCTGCTTCCTTGTTCATGAGATACCAATTTCCTTATCCATTAAATAAGGTCATTGGAATAAGCATCTTTAAAAAACATTTCCATCAAAGGCCTTCTGGTTCTATGATATGTATGTGTCCATGAGAAAAATATATATCACACATGAGTGTGTGTGTGTGTGTGTGTGTCTGTGTGTGTGTGTGTGTGAGAGAGAGAGAGAGAGAGACAGAGAGACAGAGAGACAGAGAGAAGAAAGTAAGGAGATGGGGTCTATATACAAAAATCAATATCATTACTTTTTAGTCACACCTCATATATCTAAATGAAAGTATATCAATTCATAAATAAAAAGATACAGATTTTTCAAGATTTTACTAAATTCAATTTCCTTTTCCTGTTTTCATTGTACTAGCACAATGTCATACTTTAACCTTTATTTGGTTTGAGTGAGCCACTTCTATTTACTGTATTCATGTTTTCTTGAAACATATTTGCACATAATTCCTTTTCCTTTCTTTCTGACTGAATTGCCAGGAAAGTTTCGGGAGGAATTTAAAGCAGCATTTTCTTGTTGTTGCCTTGGAGTTAACCCTCGCCAGGATGAACGACTTGCCCGGGGACGGACAAGCACAGAGAGTCGGAAATCCTTGACTACCCAATTCAGTAGTTTTGATAATGTATCGAAACTTTCAGAACACGTTGTACTGACGAGCATAAGCACACTCCCAGCAGCAAATGGAGCTGGACCACTTCACAACTGGTAGAATATTTATTCCTACATCAAGGATAGCTTAATAAAAAGTCTATGTGCATTGAAATCTGATCATCCAAAGGTAAAGCAAGAGTATGGGCCCAACATAAATGTTCAGCTTTCAACTCAGAGTTAACAAAGTTGTTTCCTAATTATATTGCCAAGTTATAAAAAGTTAACTTTTTAATGACAATTACTATATTTTGAAACTTTTGTTGAAAACATTAATTTCAACAACTTTGCTTGCAAGTTAAAATTATTGCTTAACAATATTTCAGATGCAGGATAAGTTGAATGAATAATTTCTATATTTATCCATTCATTTTAAATTGTCTAATAACTTTAATCTCTTACTTCCAAAGCAAAGTGATTTTAAGTGATTTATTTCTGTTCAAAAAGCAGTTTACCCCTTTTAACTGCCTCAGATATATATGATGATTTAATGTTAAATTTCAAACAGAAGAAATAACAGACTTCCAAAGGAATGTCTGAATAAATATTTCTATTAAAATAATATGATATCTGAGTTAAATTCCTGCCTCTGTCACATATGAATTGAATGAATATGATAAAGTCATGTAACCATTCAGCATTCTCTCATTCCTAGGAGACTAGAAGCTAAATGAGAAGCCCAGCAGCTTTGGTGTAGAAAGTTTCCATGTTAAGAGTTCCCTTCACCAGTGAAAACACAAGTTTCCCCTCAACAACTCTCCACTCCCTCCCCACCAGCAAAAAAAAAAAAAAAAAGAAAAAGAAAAAGAAAAAAAAGAAAGAAAGAAAAAGAAAAAACTGGAATTCAACAGCTGATTTTCATTTTACATAAAAATTAGATGCAATGTGTTTTAATTTGCCAATTCATTTCATCATTCATTTTTTATGAATGCTCTGCGTTTTATAACTTCAGCTGTTTTTTCAAGTTTCTCTTGAAATTCCTCTTACTATCTAATCAAGAAGGGCAAGTGAGATTAGAATATAGAGCTTGGAATCTGAAATAAATAATAGTTTTTCATCAGTTCTCTAGTTTTTAAAGAACACATTATCTATTCAGGAAAACTTGAAAAAAAATCACAGTTCTCTAACATTGTATTTGGAAATAAGATAAAATGTTGTTTTCATAATCAATAAGACAATGTTCCTTATGCTGATTTTGTGGGATTAACAACGTAATACATTTTATAAGGAGAATGAGGGATAGTTGACTGAATTTTCAATTTATCATATATTTACAGTTTAAACTGTACTCTATATGCTCACTATATATTAGTATCAATCAATCAACAAACTTTTAAAGCACCTACTCTGTTCCAAGCACTGTTCTAGTGATTTGGGGAATATAACTATTCAAAAAAATGAAGCAATCTCTATTCATCTGGAACCTACATTTTAATAGAACAGTTCAAAACAAATGTTTTACAAATCTTATGCTTGGTGTGATATTTAATTTGAAAGACCAAACAGAAACAAATTGTTTCATACAAGGGGTGCTTTCCTATGTAAGACATGGGATTCATAGTATTAAAGATTTTACTACTATGGACATTTCTGATTTAATAATTTAATTAAAAAAAACTTGAATAAGTGGTGCTTCATTCCAAAATATAGCAGACAGTCTTCTGTTTGTTGTTGAAGCCAAGTTGTTAATCTTGGACATTAAAATTGCATTGAGCTTTTATTAATTATCTATGTATTCTAACTCACTTGCTTATTATACTTATTGCAATAGAAATTATATTACCCAACATCAACCATATGACAATGTAAACCATTTATATTTGTGTATGTATGTATGTATATATATATATATATATATATATGCACATACATATATGTAGGCCCTCTTACTGAGAATTTGTAAAGCAGTTTCTCATTTATATCCATAAGATTTTTTTCCAATTTCTACCATGTATTAAATGTTAGCAAATTGATTTGAGCTTAACATCTGCAAATGAAGTTCTTTCTCTGTTTTATCTTCTGCTAATATTTGTATACTTCAAAAAAAAAAACAGCAACTAAGGTATGATTCTTAGTACTTACAAATACAAGAAGGAGAATTAAGAATAGAGGCAGGAGCCTGAAATTCTTTTGTCCTAACTAAAAATACCATTCCAGTGGCTTTTCAGTGATCTATATGAAATAAAGTCTTTTACTATACAGGTATCTACAACAAGGGCCACCACCTTCACTCCTGTCAACCTGGTTGGAATCCTGAGGAAAGACACTAAGATGTGAACCAATGTGCAATCTCAACTGTTTTCTCATTCAAATCAATAGCCATTCTTCCAGAGACTGCCATATGATAAGTGCAATATGGAAAAGATTGGATCCAAAACCCCTCTGTGCCACTTTATGGGTAACTTGACAAAAGATTTCTAGAACTATCAAACCCATATGTTTCCCTATTTACATTTACTGAGAGTCTGAGTTTTGTTGAAGGAGACAGATTTTTGAAAGACTGGCAGAGAACTCACGTACAAGAAAATCTGGGAATAGAATTATATACCACAGTACATAGCTCTCAACACTTGGATTAAGGAATTCTTCCAACATGACTGAATTTGGTATGATTACCATAACAGGACAAATGGTAAGGAAACAGGTGTCCAGAAACCCTGCCAATCCTATGGAACAAAACGGTCAACTACTTACCTCATTATGTGCTAAAGACACAAAATGAGAAGACTTATTAAAGAAGGGAATGTGTTGTCAATGTGTTCTACTTTATACACTGTACATCTGCTTATTCCTCCTTTGCTGTATTAAAAAAAAAAGATAGAAAGGAATTTGCCATTGTATTGGTAGGTGTAGGTAGGTGAATTGTGACCATTTTAGAATTCAATTGACACTCTTTGTTTCTAAGATTCTTCCCAAACTGGGATCTAAATATTTTAATTCATTTATTCTTGGCAAGAGATGACTTCCTGTTTCTAAAGAAAATGACTTTTAAAGTCTCCAAGGCTCAGAAGGCTTTTTGGACATTAAATTACTCTTAAAAAAATTTTGATGAGCTAATTGTAAAGGAATCACAGGCATATCAATTATATTTCACTCCCAATATACTTCAATATTTAAACCTTGGTATAAAAATGAAGGAAAATGTTCTTTCAAAAATGTTATTAAGATATGCTAAAATCTTAATGTCTGGGGCAGAATGAGAATAAAAAACTTAAAGATCTTAATGAATTCAGTTTTAAGCTGGTACTATTTTCATCATATACAGTGATTAAAAAATTCATCAAATTTTTTATGACTACCCTAAAATAGTAGTACTAGGTTCTGTTCCAATAGAAATTGACTCTTCTTATCAATTTCTGTATTTTGGAAAACCTTCAATTCAAGATGACATTTTTTTCTACCTTTTACTTTTTGTTATTTTGTTATTCCTTATAGTTTCACTCTCAAATAATAGATTAGAACTACTGGGTTTAACAACAGCTAGTTTTCAGATAGTGACACAAAGGAGACATAGGAGAACATGGAAACCAGTGGGATGTAGAGGCTATGTTTAACTGGCATCTCCTATACATACATACATACATACATACATATACACACACACACACACATTATATATATACATATATATGTGTGTGTGTGTGTGTGTGCACGCGTGTGTGTGTGTGTGTGTGTAATTTGCCACAAAAAAATCAGGACCAAAACATGAAAAACAAAAATGATATCATAAACTCAAATAATGGTTTTAAAAACTACTCTTACTAAAAATAAAGGAAAGGGTAGAATATCCACTATCCTTTCATGTAATTCCCCAAATATTTTCTCCTTATATACCCTAGAGCATCAGAGCTGCTTTTCAGTCAGTCAATTAATAATCGTTTATTAAGCACCTACTATGTGCCAAGCACTAAGATAAGCACTGAGGATACAAAGAGGCACAAAATAGACTCTATCCTCAAGGATCTCACAATAAATGGGGGAGACAATATGCAAACAAATACTTACATTTGGAAGGTACTAGAATTAAGAGATGTTGAAAAGGATTCCTTAGTCGAATCTTAAAGGAAGCCAGGAAAGAGAGTACATGGAGATAAGGAAAGAGTGCATTCCAAGCATGTGGATAGCCAATGAAAATGTCCAGAGTCAAGAGAGATTGAGTGCATGTATATGGAATCACAAGGAGGTTATTGTCACTGGACCCAAGAGAATGTGATGGTTATGAATGTCTTTGAATGTTAAAAAGAGGATTTTGTATTTGATTCTGGAGGTGATGGGAAGCCATTGGAGTTATACTGACATCAATAAGACTTGCGATTTAGGAAAATTGTTTTGGTGGCTGAATGGAGGATATATTGGAGTGGAGACAGACTTGAAATGGCAGACCCACTAGCAGGTTACTGTAATAGTTCAGGTGTGAGGTGATGAGGGCCTACACCAGAGTGGTGGCAGTGTCAGAGGAGAAAAGGGGACATATTTAATAGAGGCTGCAGAGATGAAATCAACAAGCCTTAGCAACAAATTGGGTATAGGGAGTGGAAGACAGTGAGCGATTGAGGATGCCTCCGGGATTCTAAGTTGGGAGCCTGAGGGAATGACAGCATGGTGTTGCCCTCTACAGTAATAGGAAAGTTCTATTTTGAGCTATGAATGATATATCAATACGTTTGTTGCACCCCATATGCACATTATCATGCTCTGCCACTAATTGAACAAAATTAATTTCTAAATTTTAAGTCCTTATTCCTGACCTGGACAATTTCACAAAAGGAAAGTCATCAAAACCAATGGGATTATAACTCAAACAGCTCTTAATGGTTTTTAATACATATAATTTTAAAGTAAAAAATAGATTGAGATCTCTGTAATCACATCTCCTAGTTTCCTTAGTGTAGTGTAAAAATTATTATTGTTGTTGATTATATTATAAGAACACTCATAATTAGGGTCAAATCTGAGTAACAGAGGATAGAATCAGTGCCTCAAGCAGAGTATTTAGTGATTGAGCTCTCTCTCTCTCTCTCTCTCTCTCTCTCTCTCTCTCTCTCTCTCTCTTTCTGTCTC